TTTTTTTTGAAGTTTAATAAGTTAAACACCACAACTCAAAGTGCAGATTAATATGAAATGACCGCACGGACTTTATCATACGACTGTACCCACATGGAAATTCTTTCAACTATTTTTGGTTAACGGACAACATACACAAAACCAGGAAGCCATAACAATGCGAAGAGAAAATGAAACGTGCCACAAAAAGTGCAGTTGAAGTTCTAAAAGAAAATAATGACCACAAAGAGTGCCATATCTGCTTCTCCGGGCTCATAGGGGATAAAAAAAGAGCATCACCCTAGCAATCATCTACAAAACAATGTATCGTACATACAACACAACAGACAGATCTAACCTAGTCAAATAAAAACGATCACCATCATTGCCACATCGTTTTAACACTCATTGTCATCGAAATAACAGCTCATGGAAAATTTTTCACGCTAAACACATATGAGAATATCAGATGATAATAATAATAATGCATGGGGATTTACGAATATCAACATAGTTGATGGTTACCGCGAATGGGTTCACTTCCTCGTCATAAAACGAATTTGAATCTGTACGGCGGGCCATGACAACAAACTTCCTTCAGCAAAAAACCAGAATTTTATGACAATGCCCGAAATAATATGCACACAGATCTGAACAATATTGTCAAATTGATTGTTGTGTTCTAGCTGGTTTTAAGGAACATTTTGTTTAATATTTGTTCAAAGTTTGGATATGTAAAAGATAAGGTGTTAATGTATATTAGGGGATGAAGTTTCTAAAAGGAAAACATCATGTGATGAATAAATGCAAACAAAATAAAAACACATTGCTCAAGAACTTTCACTAATAAGGTAGGGTTTTCTTTTCTTCATTGCTTTTCCTGTTACATTGCCTGCCATTTATATACACATTCTTAATGGCTGCGGCTCTACAACCAATCTCATCTATTTCTCTCACATGCACCTCGAAGTTAGGGTTACACAATCTCATCTTTGCCCCTCAGCTCCAAATGGTCATATTAAAGTCAGCTTTTGCCACATAAGCCGTTTCATTCTTGTTTAGCACTTGTTGGTCTCTTTTCCACGTATGCATGGTCTCCAATATGCCCCCTCAATCCTATGCATGGTCTCGGCTGCAGCTTCAACTTGTTTCTTAAGCATGTATAGGATTGCCCTGTTAAAGCTTTAGTAAATATATCTGCAATCTGCTCGATGGCTGGGATATGTTGAACAGAAATTGTTCTGTTTTGAACTTTTTCTCTTATGAAATGAAGATCGAGCTCGAGGTGCTTGGTTCTTGCATGATAAACGGGATTGGCAGCCAAACACACCGCACCTCGGTTATCTACCCAAATGGTGCTAGGGGAAACATACTTAACCTTCAATTCATTTAAAAGGGATTGAATCCACACAACCTCACAGCATGTTTGAGCTACACTCCTATATTCAGCTTCAGTGGAGGATCTAGAAACTATTGGTTGCTTTTTGGAACTCCATGAGATCAAATTCTCTCCAATATAGACACACAGTCCTGATGTGGACCTTCTGTCATCTGGGTCAGAACCCCAATCAGCATCTGAGAAGGCATTAAGATTGAAGTGAGAGCATTTCTGTATTCTCAAGGCATAAGACCTTGTTCCTGCCAAATATCTCAAGATTCTTTTAACAGCCTTCCAATGTGTGTCCATAGGGTTTTGCATAAATTGGCATACTTTGTTCACACTGTATGAAATGTCTGGTCTTGTGAGAGTTAAATACTGCAAAGCTCCTACTATCTGCCTATATAGCTTAGGGTTCTCCATAGGTTGTCCTGTGAACTTTGATAGGGCTGGATGAGAAATCATGGGTGAATTGAGACCCTTTGCCCCCTTCATACAAGCCCTGTCAAGAAGTGAGTCAATGTAGCTGGACTGATCCAAGTACAGGCCATCTGGTGTATATGTTACTTGAATACCTAAAAAGAAATTCAGCTGGCCAATATCTTTGAGGGAAAAATGAGATTGCAGAGAGGTAATGAGTGCAAAAATTTGTGAGGTGTCACTTCCAGTTAGGATGATGTCATCCACATAAACCAAAATGAATAAAGATGAGGTGTTGGTGTGTTTGTAATAGAGGGAAGAATCAGCTTTGGAAATAGAAAAGCCAAGTGTGAGTAAAACTGAGCCAAACTTGGAGGACCAGGCTCTAGATGACTGTTTGAGCCCATAAATAGATTTGTTAAGTTTGCAAACAAGTCCCTTTGATGTAGACACTTCAAAGCCTGGGGGCTGAGCCATATAAATATCTTCTTCCAGGGTTCCATTGAGGAAGGCATTATCAATATCCAACTGCCTGATATCCCATCCTAGTGATGTAGCAAGGGATAGAACAATTCTAATGGTAGTTGGCTTTACCACAGAACTAAAGGTTTCAGTATAATCCAAGCCAGCATCTTGGGTATAACCCTTAGCCACTAGCCTGGCTTTATGCCTTGCAATGGTCCCATCAGAGTTCTTCTTGAGCTTGAATACCCACTTAGTGCCAATAATGTTTCTGTTGGGAGGAGGTGGCACCAAGGACCAAGTGTTATTGTGCAGTAAGGCATTGTATTCAACCTGCATAGCCTTGTACCATTCTGGGGAAGTAAGAGCTTCAGAGAGGGTCCTTGGTTCCATGGTGAGGAGTTTGGCAGCTAAGTAAGTCTTGGGCCTGTAAATACCTGCCTTAGATCTTGTGGTCATAGGATGAACATTAGAGTGGTCAGTAGTAGCAGGATTAGATACAGTATCATGCTCAACTGGTAAGTCAATGATGATTTGTCCTATTGGAATAGTAGAGGGTGATGAAGAAGAGAGAGTATGTTGGCTGTGGGATGGAGTAGGAGAGGTGGGAATAGATCTAGATGGGCTATGATGTTGACTATGAGATGGGGAAAAATGAGAGTTATGATGAGGAGAGTGATGAGATGATGGTTGGTCATTTATGTTGCTGTCATGAATATCAGAGGGTGGGGTAGTGTATTGATGAACAGGTATAAAAGAGGGTAAGTTTGTTGATGGAGGAGCATCTGAGTGTGAATAAGGTATGGTGGTGGGAGGTGAGTGAAGGGGGTAAGTGTTCTCATCAAAGAGAACATGTCTGGTGGTGATTATTTTCTGAGATGGGAGAAGCACTTTGAATCCTTTGTGATTGGGACTGAGACCAAGGTATATTGAAGGTTGGCTCTTTGGTTGGAGTTTATGAGAGTTATATGGTTGTAATAGGGGATAGCAAAGACAGCCAAATGATTTAAATGAATGGTAATCTGGCTTTGTGTTGGTTAAGGCTTCAAGAGGTGTTTTGAGGTGAATAAGTTTGTTGGGGATTCTGTTAATCAAATAAACACCATGAGCAAATGCTTCATCCCAGAACTTGAAAGCAAGGTTGGACTGATACAAAAGGGATAGGCCAACTTGTACAATGTGCCTATGCTTTCTCTCAGCAAGGCCATTTTGCTCAGGGGTGTATGGGCAAGAAATTTTGCACTGGATTCCATGATCAGCAAGTATGGGGTGTAGTGCTTGGAATTCTCCTCCTCCATCACATTGAAAGGATTTAATGCAGGAGTTATATTGATTTTTAATGAGAGCAAGAAAGTGAGCAAAAGCTTGTTTGGTGTCTGATTTGTTTTTAAGGAGATAAAACCAAACAAAACGAGTGCATTCATCAATAAAGCTAACATAATATTTGAAGCCTCTGTGAGAAGTGATGGGAGCAGGTCCCCAGAGATCAGAATGGATCACATCAAAAGGCTTGTGAGTGTGTGCAGTGGAAGACAGAAAGGGCAGTTTATGAAACTTAGACTGCATACACACATTGCAAAAAAGAGGTCTTTTATTATCAAGAAAAGGGACATTACATTGCTGCAAAGCAGCTTTTACAATCTTAAAGGATGGATGCCCTAATCTGTTGTGCCATAGTTCTAAATTCTGTGAAGGTTCCAGAACTGCTGCATTGCAACTTGATTGAAGGTAAGGAAAATAGCTTGAAGGAGGAGAACAACTAGGCTTAGCTTGGTTATCTTGGGAACTTGTGAGCTGAAAGCAATACAGTCCATCTTTAAGGGTTCCTTGGAGTAAAACAGCTCCTGTCTTGAGATCCTTCACCAAGCATAAAGAAGGATGAAACTCAAAATAGAACATATTGTCTTTAGCAAATTGAGATACACTGAGTAAATTTTTAGTGATTTGAGGTACAAGCATTAGGTTGTTAAGAAGGAATATATTGGAATCAGAGGGATTAGGACTTTTCATCATAGCTTTACCAATATGAGTGATGACCATACCTGACCCACTTGCAGTTTGAATCCTCTCATTGCCTTGATAGTCTGTGGCTATGTTGAGGTTGCTCATCTCATTGGTCAAGTGGTGTGTTGCTCCAGAGTCAGGGAACCAAAGCATATCCTGAGTTGCATCATTGGACTGAGCACCTAGACTGGCCACATTGGCTGAGAGATGACCACTGTTGTTATGTTCTTGGTAGTTTTGAAAGCCACCACCATTGTTTTGAGGTCTTGAGGTGAAGTTCATATCAAACCGGTAATAGCATTTGTCTGCAGTATGGTTGTTGTAGTTACAAATCTGGCATCTGGGTTTGTTTTGATTGTTGAAGCCTCTACCACTCCTACCTCTTCCTCTTCCATTCCCTCTACCCCTTGAGGGTTGGAAGTTTCCTTCAGATCTGCCTCTTGAGGTTGTAAAACCTCTTCCTCCTCTATTAGGAACATGAGTAGCTAGGTTGGCAGCTAGAAAAGATCCATCTCCTTCACTAGAATTCCCAGTGCTTTCCAGCCTGCTTTCAAAGCTCAAGAGAAAGGAGTAGGCTTCCATTAGAGAGCAAGGTTGAGATCTGGATGTAAGGCTAACCACAACTGGATTGTACTCAGACCCAAGACCAGCAAGAAGATGCAGCAGTTGGTCATTTTCAGCCAACTTCTGGCCTGCTGCAGCAAGTAGATCACATATACCTTTAACCCTGTTGAAATATTCTCTCATTTTGGTGCTTCCTTTCTTGAGAGTCTGCAACTCAAGCTTGAGCTGCATTTGCTTGGCTAGGCTGTGAGTTGCAAAGCTTGCTTTCAATGTATCCCAGATCTCCTTTGAGCTGTTGAGTCCAACAGTAGATACTAGTACATTTTCAGACAAGGAGGACAACAACCATGATGCAATAAGCTGGTCTTGCTTCACCCAGTTCAAGAAGGCTTTGTTCACAGATGGCTCGTTTGTCTCTGGATCTATGATAATCTTGTCTGGTGTGGGTGTTTCTCCTGTGAGATATCCAAATAATCCATAACCTCTGATGGAGGTGAGAACTTGTTGTTCCCAAAGCAGATAATTGCTGTCATTGAGTTTGATGGTGACAAGACTACTTTGAAGCTGTACTGTTGGATCAATCTGTGGTGTGATGAGAGCCATAGATCTGAGAAGCAAGGAAGAGAAAACGATGAGAGGAGATGGATCAGAGACTGGCTTTTAACCAGCTCTGATACCATAAAAGGAAAACATCATGTGATGAATAAATGCAAACAAAATAAAAACACATTGCTCAAGAACTTTCACTAATAAG